TAATTATAAGTCACCTATAGTTGTTTGTGCAATGAGAGTATTACTACTATCCTTTAAAATATTCCTTAATCTTATTCTTTTTTGATATTGCAATCTCAATCTTATGCTAAGGTAAGCAGTTGGCTACATTTTCCTTTACACAATAATAATCAGTTTTTTTTTTCCTAAAAAAAAAATAATAATCAGGTTTTTTAACACTCAATATCCTAAATATAGCTTAAATTATTATATTATTTAGATTTTATTATTTATTTCTCTCATTTTCATTAAAAAAAGGCCTATATAATTGTTTTTTAAAGTGATTTTGACCTTATTTTTCATATCTCTATTTCATGTAATTTGTAATTTTTTATTTTTCCAATTTCACGTATTTTCGTTTACGTTTCTCATTTGATCATTTACATGCAACCTAGCTAGGGAGAGAAAGTGAGAAAATGACAACTTTATCACTCAAGGTGTCTCTTATACTACAATAACATATATGGCTGGGAGACTAGCTTTACATATTAATGATATGACAAATTTTAACATGCACCATGATGCATGTAAAACTGTGTGCTCCAACCAATAGTAAATTAAACCAACATTATTCTCTCTTCTCAATATTTATGAATTTTGTGATACATTACTTTTGAAAAAAAAATTTAGATCTATTTATTTTGTAATCCTTTAAAAAAATTTTTGACATTCTATACTTTATATTTTTTATATATGAACACATGACTTTTTGCATATGAAATTTATTTTGTTTTCAATTTATGTATTTTAAAATCTTTTTATGATTTGTAATTATGAACATATTAGGTTAGATACCTGAACATTTATATGTTTTTTATGAACATTTGAGTTAGATCGATATATGAACATATATAAGTTATTTTGGGTTAAGAAATTATGAACCACAATTAAGATTTGATATATAAAAGAAACATTTATTATATTTCAAATGAACATTCTATACATTATAATGAACATAAAAGAATTTATAATGAATTAATACAATCTATTTTCTTTATCAATTATATAAATAAAGTCTTAAACTATAATTTCTGAAAATGACATACTACCTCCGTTTCTTTTTATTTGACACGTATTCCTTTTTAGGAATTTTTTTTAGTTAACACGTTTCCTTTTGGGGTAAATTTTTTACCTTGCATTTACAAGCTACCCCACTTGTTTTTTCATTATTTCTCACTATCTCTCATCTCCTTAATATATGTGCCTAAATCAAACACTTCAACTAAATAGAAACAGAGGAAGTATAAAATATGAACATGACATTATTAGAATTTGAACTTATAATTATTGAAAATAAACAATAAATTTTTTAATGATAATCATTGCATTATTTTACAATGAGGATCAATAAATATGAACATGACAGTACTCGAATTTGAACTTTTGTTATTTGAAAATGAAAATTGAAATTTTAAATATGAACAAAACGCTATTTTATAATGAACACTAGTTTTGTAAGGAATTTTGACTGGCTCGGGATAATTCAATTATTTAGTAATATAATTGAATGTTTAGTGCATATAAAATGAACATTATGTTATAAAATATGAACATATAAAATTAGATGTTCATGCTCATTTTTTTTTGAGGTGTTCATATTTTTATACAAAATGTTTATTTTTTATAAATAGTTCATACTATTTTACTAAATGTTCATATTATAGCCGTGGTGCACGCATTTTTAGGTGCACCATGGTGCACATAATAAATATTGTTAGTGATATGATATGATATGATAGAATACACGAGGAGGTACATTGGGATTTAAAATTTAATGGGGTTAATTTAATTTTTTTATAAGCTTTGGGCCAACCAAACTGTTTTAAACTGAATATGGTTACAAGAAACAATTTGTTACCCATTTTCGATTAAAAGGTCTAAAAGTCTAAAAATGAAGTTTTGTTGGTGAAAAAGTAAGTCAATGTGAATACATACTGTAGACATCTACTTTTGGCCTCTCGTCCCGACAGGAAGTGCAATGACGATAAATAAAATCATCTTTGTGTAGGATCGAAGTAAAGAATGCTTATGGATGACTGGCTAAACCGCAAAGACACAAAAAGAATAGCCTAACCCAAAATAAATGCAAAACAAGGTCCAATTAACTAAACTCGATCATAATTAGGCTTAGGTCTGTGCTTAAGACCTAATAATGACGGAATTAAAGGCGCCTAGGTTAGAACTAAAGCTGCCGTAGAAAAACCTGCGCGCATCTCAAAGAGTCGTGCTAGTCGGGCGCGGACAGCTAATTCAGTTGCGCGCAACACCCAACGCAACTTCTAGAGATGCGCTCGTGGAAGATTCAGAATTTTTATAAAATATAAAATCGAATCTTACCATAAAACCGCGCGCAAGACGTTCAGTTGCGCTGCCCGTAGCAGTGCAACTAAATCACTTGCGCTGGGATGTCGCGCGCAACTCATCCAGCTGCGCGCGACATCTGCTGTGGCAGAATGCTTAAAACCCTAATTGCACCCATTCCCTATAAATAGGGGCTTAATACGAGGCTTAACCACACAGAAACTCTTGTGAACCTGTGCTTCCACACCCTCTTGTCCTAAACACTCACCCCTCTTAATCTTTGTTACAACGATGGAGGTTCCCGAACAAGAAGGAGTCCATAAGTGTTCTAAACGGAGATCTAGCAAAGAGAAATGGTAAATTCCCGAGCACGCACTTAGATACATCACAATTACTTTTTTTGTTTAAAAGAACTTTAATCTATAAAATAATGTTGTTTGACCATTTTAAAAGGACATTTAATGAATCGATTCCACGTAGTATCTTGTGTTAAATAAGATTAGAAATGAATAATTAATTGATTGATTGATCATCTAAGCCAAGGTGAATCTTATTTATTTTTGCTCCTTTCACGAATTTGAATTAAATAAAGAATAACGACTTTGCAATGTAATTCCTATGTGGTTAATGCTTGTAAATAAAATCAACTAACTTAGTTTAGGTATCGCGTTCCATATATTGTTTGGGGATGAAATTGTAAAAAAGGATGAGTTAGTAGAGGCCTCACTAGGGCTAGAATGACGATTCTCCTATAAAGGGAACGTTATTTTAGTACCCTCGCTCCCGAACTCATTATTTCTGGTTTATGTAGACCAATTTGGGCATGGGTAACTTATGATTTGTGCTAAATATCCCATGAACTCCACATGGGAGTAAGACATGAATGAGGTTTATGGGTTTTCCCAAAACTAATTGGCGACTCCTACTTGTTTCATACAAAAAGCCGTGATTATAGAATCAATTCTAATTCAAGGTCCCCCAAAACAGTCAGGAATTCAAATCCTAATACACCCTAACAAGTGTAAAATTTTAGGCTATTAAATGGCCATGGGCATCTAAGGAAGGACCCCCTACGTTGGGATCACCCTCCTTACACATACTAATATACTATCTTTGTTTCTAAAATTTTGTTTAAACTTTACAAGTTCTATTTTAAAATCCAAATCAAAGGCCTGCCTACATTTAAACTTGAGAACTAAAAGTATACATTAAACTAATTGAAGTTGAAAATTGAAAGTATACATTTAACTGATTGAAGTGAATACGAAGTGTTCTTTTCACATTTTAATATTTGCTCCGCTTTCCTTTTACGATCGTATTTTATTACTTGCTCTATTTTAATTTTTGGAAACTCTTAATAAATTTTACTAATTTTCCTCCCATAAGTGATCGCTGATATCAGATTTTAATATTTTTTAATTTTTTTTTTTTTTTTTTTTTTTTTTTTTTTTTTTTTAAGGAGAGGCAAAAAACTTATTAATCACAAATCACAAATCACAAAAATACATGGAGGCTACTAAGCCCCTAGGCAAATGCCCTTTAACCAACTAAGCTCTCTAGCCTTAACTTTCTTACAAGCTATACTAGTAATTCTATTATTTACATCATCTAAAATTAAAAGACATTTTTTTTTATAATTTTTTTTTAAAAAAAAAGAAAAGAATGTCAAGGTGAAGGAAAAGTTGCGTAAGAATTGAGGATAGGTGACTAAGGGTAAGTCAAGACGATAGGAGGTTCTAAAGTGAAAGATTAGTAATACTTGTTTGCTTAAACCATAAGATTTTGCCCGCTAAAAGTTTTTAATTAAGTATTTATGCTACCAAATTATGTATTTAGAAGGGTTAGTATGATTGACACAAAAAAAATTCAATTATTTTGACTACTTCAATAGACAAGTTAAACAAGCAAGTCGGATTCATGTGAAGGAATTGACGTTCAACACATTAATACAATCGAGTTATGCGTGTCTGTTTTGGGTTGAAAATTTCAACCCAAACCTAAGCCATTTAATTTCGTGTCAGGTTTGTGTCAACTCAATTACTTAAATGGGGCGAAAATTCTTGACCCAAACCCGCTTATTTCGTGTCGTGTCAACTTTTCTTAGCCCTAAAGTAGTTATTGATTTTCTATATTTATTTTCATATTTAATTTGTAATTTTAGCCCAACAATGTTTTATGAACTATATTGTTTTCCTTTGCTAAAATATTCTCAAACCTTTATGTTTTTTTTTTTACTCCAATATATTAACCACTCCTTTACAACTTCCTTGAACTTTATTCTTAGTTCTCTTTTTAAACTTCCTTAGTTTGTCTTAAATGCTCTTTTGTTTAACTTTACTCACCTTTTTTAAACGATTCACTAGTTTTTCTTAAATGGTCTTACGTTTGCTAACTTTACTCACATTTTTTATTTTTTTTTACTTCCTTAGTTTTTTTAACTTCCACTAGGATATTGGATTACCAAGCAAAGCTTGATCCATTGATAAGGATATAGCTTTCCAATCTTGAGGTTCGGGTTCAATCTCTACTAAAAAACTCTTTGACATTCTAACTTGCAAACTCTGAATAGGTCAACAAGTGAGTGGCAATTCATTTTACATACTTAACAAAAAGAAAGAACAAGAATATTGGATAAGTAAAACCTCTTTCATGAAACACCCTTATTAGCTCGTTGAAAGGGAGGTTTAAGTATGGGTCTTTTTCACATGGGAGGGTTCTAACTTGTAAGTTTATGAATCAATAGGTAAGTTTATCCAAAATACACCAGTTTTATTGATAAAGGTACTCAACAACAAATCATATCAATAAGTTGTCATTTATACAATCAAGCAGCTAAGCGATTTTCATGACTACCAAACATCTATACAAATCAGCATAAAGAATCAGATAGCCACTAATAACTGAAAAAAATAAATAATTGGCCATCTACTTACAGCCAAATAGAAGTTTATCTATTTCAAAATGCTTCTATTTCTGCTTGAGATATAATCATGCTTAATTGGACCAAGTGAAGATCACCCTCTTTGATTTGCAATTCGCAAGATCTTATGACCATTAATTTGCAATATCGCAGCACCAACCTACTTCTTAGACTCCAAGATTTTACCAGCTGAAAATCGGAAGAAAATGGGGTGAAAAAGAAACATAACAGTTACGATTGGCCAAAGAGAACCCTGATGCACCTTTTACCCACTGGATTCCTGCATCCTTTGTAATGAAGTAATTTGCTGCAAACAGCTACATATCTAGGTGGGTTGTTACCGTGTCTTACATTTACTGGTCAGCGATTCTGCAACATACAGCTATCAGGATCAGTATGAGAAGAAAAAACCAAAAAAAGAGGCACCTGAGAAGAAATTTACCTGGTTAGGTTTTCCTGCCAAGTATAACTTGCTATATACAGACTGTCTGTGTAAGGTTGTTTTTTTTATATAAATGTTTCTTTGATCAATATCATCACCAGCTTCTCGAACACAGGAGGGTTAAGACAATTGAAGCCACGGTGAGCCCTTGGTTTTTTCATACTGCCAGCCCTTTAAGGTGAGCGAAAATCCCAACTATGAAACAATATCACATATGCAAAAGCACTAGTATTTGATAAGGGCTGGCAATGAAGCATGCAGTTCTCCTAAGCACTGAAAGATCCAATTGAGAAGTTGCTCCCTTGGTAGCTCCAGAAGTAGTTCAGTCTGTCAGACCCCAAAAAACCAAAAAAAAAAAAACAAAAAAAAAAAAAAATATAATTAAAAAAAACACAATGGCAGCATGTTGCAGTCAGATAAGTTACAAAAGAGGCTCCCCTCAAAAAACAAAAAAAAAAAAAAAAAAAAAAAAAAAAAAAAGAGGTTACAAAAGAGGCAATAAGGAGAGGATTGTCCACCAACTACATTATTTCATACAATCACTACCACTTTTTTTTTTTTTTTACACAACAATCACTACCACCTTATAGATGCACGTAAGCTTAAAAGATGCTTGTTCTAGGATAAAAATGGTAAGGTAGATAGCTCATTTTTCCTTAGATTTTCCCACCCTGCTTTTCTTTTTTACCCCTTCATATATCTCTTGTTTCTTGCAAATGTATAAGATGACATGAGCAAATATAGTTGCAAGTAGATTGTTGCACAGTATAACTTTCCCTTTTTCATCCCCGGTCAAATTTTCCATCTAACTTCCATCTTCAGAGAACAAAAACAAGGAACTTATGGAAACTTCTCTGCTTTTCAACAGAGAAGTAATCGACAAAGCTTGTCGAACAGTCTCTTCAATGCGCTCCATGATATGACAATCACTTTGCTGGAAGTTTAGTATGACAAACCCTCTATAATACTAGTCATAAAAGAGGGAATTTCCAAATGAAAAGATAGCATAATGCCATGAAACAAATAGATACGTAGATGATCTAAATTAAAAAGTTCTACAGGTGCACTTCTGCAGAGAAAGCATAGTTGATAACAGGCCTGAATAAAACACTTACCTTAATTTGTCCATTGTCATACACAAGTGAACTACGTAAAACATCAGAAGCCATGGAGTCCTTGATCATCCTGAATACATCTTTAGTCATGTTTGTTTCCATGCCAACTATCCTTCCAATGACATAAATTCGGCTAATCCCAAGGTCTGCTGCCATTCTTTTCACATAGAGTTTCTTTAATAGAATTTCCATTGAGTTAGGCTCTTTTCCATACTGTCGCCGCAAATCCTCTGTAAATTTAACTAAACTCAAGATGTCATTCTCTGCTGCCTTCTCAGCATCATTTATTAATTCCATGGGATTCTCTAGATAATTTATGTACTCAGAAGAGAGATGAGGATTGACATTTATATCAAGCTGGAATGGAAAATTTAAAAGAAGCGAGTTAGAAATCAGATAAGGATAGAATTGTGAATAATTGGATCATAAATAGCTCGTCATCAATCAAATAATGAATTTGTGACATGGTCATATTACTGGATGTTATTATATATTCTTGAGTCTCGTACATCAATTAACTGGAAATAATGCATTTTGTTATCATCCTTAGGGTTGCTTTCTGAAATGGAATTTTAAGGTATTGGTGCTTTTGCAGGAATGAAACTAATTCCAATTTTAAGGTATTGGTGCTCAGAAGTGTGAGTACATAATCAATTAATCTTGTGATGAAATTATCTTCAAACGACTTATTGACTCTTATGTGTCAATTAATGCTTCTTCTTTTAGCAAAAATCTGACTTTTTTAAGAAGTTGCCGCACTAACACATTTTATCTGTTAATAAACATCATTACACGATATTTAGTACCTGAACATTTTGATAAGGAATAGATCTAATCCGGTGTTCTTCTACCTGCAAAACAAGGCCAGAATCATAATTCACGATAAGCAAAGCCAAAGGGTTCTCAAGGTTGGCTATTTAAACAAAACCTAGCTGAAACAAGACTGGAAATTTTGTTTTTTAGCAATGGGTCAAAAGCATGATACAAAAATTATAGGTATGTATCAAAGGAGTTAAACAGATTACCTTGGACAAGCTCTCAAAAAGCATCTCGAAAAAGAGATCAATGCCCACATTTCCTACATCACCTGTTTGCTGCTCACCAAATATATTACCAAAACCTCTAATACCCATGTCTCTTTCAGCAAGCTGAAAACCTTGACCAAGTTCACGACACTCTTCAAGGGCTGAAAGTCTCTCCTACAGGTGAAAGTGAAATTCAGCTTAGTAACTGCTACTTGAAATTTAGAAAATATGTTGATACAAATAACAATGATTGAACGACTTTAGAGGTTTCAACAAATCAAACTGAGATTGCAACAAGGGTAATTAGACAAACCAGTGCTTGATCAGACAGCAAAGATTTATCTGGGTAAAATAGGTACGCGTAAGCTTCCTTATCTGATCTCCCAACCCTTCCTCGCAGCTGTTGTATTGGAATTGGGGTGACAAAGATAAAGAATCAACATGAGAGATAGTAATACATACATACATACATACATACATGCATACATACATACATACATACATACATTTTCCACAGCAATGTATGTGAATAAAAGTTGTTAAAGGGGTATTCCTATCAAGCACTAAAGACAGATTGCTTTCAATCAATAACTCTTAATTCGCTAATCCCTTGCAAACAGCAAACAGAAAAAAGTTAATACAGAAAAACCTATTCATCAGCAAAGTTAGAAACCTTTACCACCCATTCTCATGTAAATATAAAAATACAACTGAAAATAGTACACTGTACAACGAGGATAGCTGACGTGCAATAAGGAAAAGCTGTCCTATCAACAGAAAGACTAATTAGAGACTAGCATTAGCCCAATTTCTTTGAACCTCCCCAACTGATTAACTTTTGAAAGTCTCAGACATGTTGGCCCATAACAATGCTAAATGAGTGACTGTCCCACAACAAACCAGAAGACATCAAATCAGAAGAAAAGACACGGCAATTTCGCTCCAACCAAACACCATAAAATTGCCATGGCTCATGAAAGCATTGCACCATGGCACTTTTTCTCCTTACGCTCACCAAACCCCTTGAATAAAGCTATAGCCAATACATAAACTCTAAAGGGCAAGCCCAAGTAAGCTTCTCCAAAGATAAATGGCCATGTCAAAGTGAAAAAAAATTATGACCAATAAACTTTTGTTGTAGGAGCATCCCTCGACTTCCAAAAGAAGTTTCCAACCAATGAAGGTAGAATTTGAGGGGATCAACTAAAGCAACTAAAAAAAAGTTTACATTTACAGGACTTGAATAAATACCACATGCAGACCCTAGAATTTTCCACTTGGCTTATTGATTTATAACCTATAATTAGAAAAAAGAGCTCTTTTGACTCCCTATCATTTAGTGGTCTTTGAAAACGTAAATACTACGATAAATTCCAAACATAAATTATGGAGCAAAGACAAATGATATTACTGAGGGAAAAAAGGGCTGCTCTTAGGTTAGTGAATAATATTTTTTTTTAAACTCCCATAAAGCCGTAGCAATCACAGAAGCATCGAAAGCTTTAGAAATATTGTAAAACCACCCTAACAGCTTGTGAAATCCCACTAATAAGAAGATTGTCTCCTTTTTGGGTGCTCCTCAACCATTTACTAGAAACAAGGCTTACTTTTGAGAACAAGTGTGGAATGGGTGGCTGATACCCTTGCTTCTGATGCAATAACTTAATTTGTAAAGGGTTTTAAGCACCCCACCACCTATACCGCAACACACACCCCACCCCCCCACCCCCCACCCACCCAAAAAAAAAAAAGGTACTATTTCTATTAGCCATGATCATTACTTGCAAACTCTACTATCTTATATAGTGCTAGCTATTCACTAATACAAATTGAACAATCACTTATATTATTTTATTTATTTGTTTATTTTTTTTTAAAGGAACCGCTGATAGTTAAAGACATCCCTTAATGTCTAGAACTTTTAAATAAATACTTAGTACACAGTTTGGCCAGAAAGTAACATGCCTGATATAGCTGTGCAAGTCCAAATTGCTGAACATCCTGAATAATTATAGTGTTTGCATTTTGGATGTCTAATCCACTTTCCACTATGTTTGTACATATAAGAATTTTAGTTTTTCCAATGGCGAAGCTTTCCATTGTTTCTTCAAGCTGTTTCGAGTATTGCTGCAATTAAGAGTGGATGCAAAATGTGAGATGCAAACACCAATTGATTAGAATAATAAGCACAGGTGCATAGTATGCATATCATTATACGACAGGAAATCAGAACAAAATGAGGCACAAGTAATTCCCAAACTGCAGCCTCATGGAAAAAAAAGTTCCAGAGCCAGCCTAGAATATCTGAAAAGCATATTTTTTAATTATCAGGATGCGCCATTCCCAATTTCAGATGAATATCTCACTTAAAACTTCACCAACTACTGTTCAAATGAACTAGATGTTCCACTGTTCTGTCATGCTAAGAAGGCTTCGCAAGGTTATCTCTTTCAGATATACGAAATGATTTTGATCCATCATACTTTTCTAAGAACTAGCTGTGCTATTGCGAGCGATAGCCCAAATTTGGGATTAATATTTATGGATTTTGCGTTTATGATAAATCGTTTAGTTTGAATTATATTGCGCGATAACCCAATTCTGCTAAGTGCTTGTTGTAATTTAATTATGGTTAATGTGTAGATGATGAATATCTGTTAGTATTATACTTGTAAAATATTGCTTATTGTTCAGTTAATTGTGCAAGTATGTAATTGCATGTAGATTAATTACGGAACAGTTTATAGGGAAAAACGTATTAATTTGATTGATGAGTATGGGAGCAAGTGTAGACTATGAGCATAATATGTTTGGTTGGCTCATGAAAATTATAAAATATAATAGTCAGTACAGATTAAAGAAAGTTAAAAAAAAAATAAAAAAAAATCGAAAAACACATTTGTAAATATAATAAAAGTTTTTTATTCTCTTTCTCAAATTACATGTAAGTTTTTTAAATTTTAAGTTATGGGAATAATGAATTATTCTTAGTTTCTTCCTATTTAACATAAGAATGTGATTAGTAATAGTATTATTTCACTTTTGTTTAAAGAATCACTCTTCCTAACCTATAAAAAAATGCAAAAGAAAAAAAAAAATAGTAAGAAAACAAGATTTAAAAAAGAAAAGAAAAGGGGAAAAAAAAAACAATGCCAACATGACAAAAACACTATTGATATTTTCCCAAAATGAATAGTAGGCATTCTCACTTTTTAAAAGTTTATAGATATAGACTTGGAGGAATTTCAATTCTCAGTCTCTTTAAGCTCCTTTTTCTTCACTGTAGGATTTATTGCAAACCTAAAAGATCTCTCTATTTTTAACTTTTAAAAATAATTTACAAGAAAAGTAGACATCAAGGTCATCAACTAGCTGAAGAAAAAAGGGGAAATAAAGTAAAGAAAATTATATGATGAAATACCTTTCCATGAGCAATGGCTATTTCAACATCTGGAAAGGACTGTTCAAGAAAACCCATGACTTCCTCAAGTCCTGCAAAATATTATTAGCTCAAAACTTCATACAAACAGCCAAACCCAGCCAAGACATGTACACATAAAGCAAAGCTTTTGACTATCATATTAATAGTGCTAATTCACAGCTCCTTTTCAATTTTTTTGGTAGATAGCCCTATGACATATACAACTATACGGAAAAAATGTTGAAGACCCTTCCATTACTTGCAATTTATGACACAAGCACCTAAAAAGCTGTACAAATAGAGTTAGCGTACACTTATGTACATTTATGAGTCAATTCTGTACATAATCTTTTGTTACACTTTCCCTGTTCAACTTGCTATTTATTTTTAATACTTATGTATGTTTCCTCTTAACCATTATCACCTTATGCAGATAATCCATAAACCTTGTAAAATTTCTAAAATTTAATACTACGTAGCTACTAGTCCTTTTTAGATGTTTTTGATATAATTATCATTTTCTACTAGAACAGACATCTGACTGAAGAAAAGAATCTTGTTTCACCTTTTATACGAGGGAGAACATAAAAGACTTGGCCATCTCTATCCAGCTCATATTTAATTGCTGATACTACATTCTCTTTACTGAAAGCTGAGAGTTGTGTCTTGATCGGGACTCTCTCTGGAGGAGGTGTTGAGATTAAACTGCAGACAAACCATATAATTTATCAAGCTGAACCAGGAAAGGTTCTGTAGAGATAGAAGCTAAATTCTACAGAATATCTTCATGTTTTCCTTCTTCTTCCCTTCAGAAGAGATACAGGAAAAGGGAGTTGATTCTAAAACTGAAAGTAGTTTAGTCACACATGGGCTGAGGACCTCTCCCTTGTGTATTTGTCAGACCCTTATATTTAGAAGTCTGATCCGAAGCATCTAAACTCAAACAGTGATCATGCAAATTACAGAAAAGTCTAAGACAGATACTTCTATTTTGAAAACTCTCACTTGAGACCAATCAAAGCATTCAGTCAGTGTAAATTTCATGACATATAGAAAAACACAAAGAACAGGATACACATATACAGTTTAAAGCTACTTATATTTATAATGAAGTAACTGTTTTCGATAGTATTCAAAGTGAAAACAAACCTTGCATCACGAAACCCTGTCAAAGCTAGATAGAGTGTTCGTGGTATTGGTGTCGCTGACAGTGTGAGAACATCAACTGAGGTTTTGAAGGAAGCAATCTTCTCCTTCTGCTTGACTCCAAACCTCTGTAAAGCAAAGAAATATTGCATAATCACTGTAACAGTGGATCCACACATATAACAGAGGGATTTATCATTCCTTGCAAATAGATAATTCAAAAAGTATTCAAGATTTAAAAATTCAGACAGTATTTAGATTCCATGTATAAAGCATCTCGATTAAACAGTTGTATTATGGAAACTATACAAAATAACTTCATAAGCAACAAACTTCACTTTCTATGCATTTCGGGTTCTAGGAGTGTATGAAATCTTGCTATCCTTCAATGCATTTGACAGGCATGAGATATTCATAGCATTACATCAGGTTCATCTTTAAGGAAGCAAGTACATGGATTATGACTCATGTAGATAAGTATGATTGGCAACTTGCATTGAAAGCTGATAATTAGCTCTGAGGACATGAATAATGAGGTCATTTGGTACAAAGTGATTTGCGCATCCAAAAGGCCTATACACAATGACGCTAACATTAGAATTTAAGGTATCCACTCAAAAGTTGCATGAAGCAGATGGGTTAGGCATAGAGCTCTTGAACCCAAGCAAGCCATAATTTGCTAGCTGGCAATCTTGCAAAAACTGAATTCAAGAACAAGACTTGCTGCCACATATATTTGTGATGAAAAATCTTCTTTTGTGTGACAGCAATCCTGATACATTTACCCACATCCACTTTGAAAGTGGTTTCATTGGTATTTGTTTTACTGTACACGGATGAATGAGAATCCTCTGTACTAGCAGAAATTTTAATGTATAATGAGAAAGATATATAGAAACATTTTTTAAAAAAAATAATAAATAAACCAGCAGCTTGCAACAGTAAGTTAAGATTTGGAGTATAGATGGCTACACTAGCACCATGCATATATCATGCCTAGAGACTCCAAAACATTTCTGTTTGAGAGCAGAAAGTGTTTTTCCTGTTGTATTTTGGCAGAGTTAGTATGACATTATAGATTAAATATAGAGCGTTAGTATAGATAAATTAAGGTGAATGATAAATAAAGGTGATTGGTCAGTTGCAAGCTAGTTAATACTAAGGGCTTAAGTAGAGAAAGCCTTCTAAGGTCGTTTAATCTTTGTATGTTTTCCATTTATCAATAAGCTAAGACCTTCCACAGGCAATGACCAGTTACTAATTTACAGAGGAAAAAAGAAAGCATTTTGCATTGATGCATACCTTCTACATTGAGAATTTGTCTTTCTTCTTTAATCTCTTTTTTACAATACAAATTTTGATTTGTGTTTCTACCTGGAGAATTTTAATTGTGTTCTTCTAAAATGTTACAATTGATGTTTCCATCAAGATTCTGGGGCAGCAAACAACATAAAATGAGTAATCGAAAACTTAGAACGCTTAAATATTCAAAAGTAATGTAAATGAAATAGGCCTCGTAGCAGCATAAAACCACATATCAAGGTCAAACAAAATGGAGCTGGACTCTAGATTGGTAAATACAAAAAAAAGGCTATGCTTTGTTCAACTAAAAGTGCTTTTAAAAAAGCATACTTCATACTCAATATTGCAGTAGTAAAGGAAATACTTAATTATTTTTCAATAACATCTACCAGCTCGTGAAGTGCATACTACAACCAGACATATCATAACTTAACTTAGCTCATTTTGATCATTGTCATTTGTCACAGATCAGGCAATGAGTTTAGCAACACTGTAATAGCTACCTTACCTGTTTCTATATATATAGAATACAGATGCAGGAAGCCGGGAACAGAAAGCCCAAATAATTTTTAATATAACCAAATGATCAAGAACAAATTAATTATCAGCTTAAGATTACAATGTTGATAAAATGTTAATAAATACTCCATATATGCTAGTTTCTTATGTACCAGATCAAAAGATTTTTGGTGTAAATCAAACGAAGAGTTGATCAAAAGGTTAAGGTAGCATACATTTGATTCCCTCTCCTACTATGCACTATGAAGTACCTCATCATAGGTAATGGGATACTGCTGTTGAATAGAATGGTCTGACAAAGAACTGAATAAAAACATTGGTAGCTATGCATACAAGAAAATTTGAATAACCAACTTGAGAAACTACAACAAGTCATATATGCCACCTCAGCATAAAAGAAAGAAAAGAATACAGCACACATGAAAATATGTAAAAGAAGAGATGGCAAACACATAATCATCATCTAAAAGATATATAGAAGAAAGGAGCCAAACCTGCTCCTCATCAACTACAAGAAGGCCCAGATTATTATAAACAACGCGATTTCCAAGAAGTGAATGAGTTCCCACAATAATGTCCAGCTCACCCTTTTTTATCTGACGCAAGTATTCCTCCTTTTCTCCTCTGGTCTGCAAATAGGAAGCAATGCTTTAAGTTCCTAACAAAACTAAATATAGTACATTACAGCAACCTATATTTATTTTTTTATTAGGGGGTTTTCTTTCAGAGCTTGAAAGTTAAAAATCCAGTTTTGCAAATGTGAAAGGATCTTCATGGTTTTAAGAATCTGGAAACCCTTTCCTTAAAAACAACACCATGCAGTTATCTTTGATTGTCCGTATCAGTTTATGACTAATTCAAAATTCCATACCCCGTCTGCAAGGGACACAGTTCATTCAGCACCCCCCCCCCTTTCCCCCAAATATCCTTTTGATAAGCAATTCATCCCCTTGTAACTCCCCTTAGCTTTTAACTTGGTGAAATGGACCCATGCTTCTCATATTCACCTCTATAATCACACCTCTCTTCTTCCCACCCTTACACGGTCTCTAGTTCTCTCCAAAAATAGGGTCATCGAATTATAATATCTCCAACCCAAAGCTCTTGCAATTATTTGACTATTAGATTGGTAAGATGCTCACTAAACTGATGCTAGGCTAGAGGCATCTGCCACTAGTTTCCATCAAGTGGCAGTGGGAGTACAAGGAAGTTGAACAAAGAGTTTGTTATGGACCTGAGTTTAGAAAAATAGCTATATGATCCAATGAAAAAGGAATAGAAGAAGAAGATTCTAGTCACATAGAGCTGAATCTTAGGCATAGAATTTCTTAGTATGTGCCTGGAATAAACAAAGACATGAACAAATGAAGAGGCCTTTCCTGATCCAATATTCCAATCTCCACGATTGTACAAACAATGTCTACATATTTAACTATGACAACTGAACAGTTCAAGGTATGAAAAATGGACACCTACCCAGAATGATAAATTACCCCTACCTAGCTCACAATAAAGCAACAGCATAACGAAGCAGAACATAAGAAAAATTAGTGACTTGCACAGTAGATAAATTCAAAAAACTGAGCCTACAAGTGGTGAAAACTTCATGTATGTGATGTATTGTGAAAATCAAACATGTAGTATTCAGATTGTCAATTGAGCATTTTATATCTGCTAAGCAATAGGGAAACACTACTTTGAAATTATTGATATAAGGTTTACTAATATCTTAAATATACTACTTATACTTTAGTCTGATTGTAAAAGTTATGATTTTGATTGTAAAAGTTATATTAATTTCTCTAAATTTGTGGTTTTCAAGTCTTTATTATTATTGTAGATGCCATATGGCTATTCATTAATGTAATTGATTCTTCCCGTCAAAAAAAAAAAAAAAAAAAAAAAAAAAAAAAAAAAAAAAAAAACTTTAGTCTGAATGTCTAATTCAATATCAGCCAATGCTCAACCTGTAAAGTTGGGATTTGATAACATCATAAATATAAAAAAATCATAAATGCTGTTGATACATCTTTTTACTAATATATAATCATGGTCTGTTACTAATCCTATGTTAAAAAATTTCCACTTGGCCTACCTGAAACCTGCTCAGAAGTCCAACCTTGATATTGGGATACATGGAAAAACGCTCAGAAATCACATCAAAATGCTGCTTGGCTAACACAATAGTTGGTGCTAGAACCATTGCTTGCTTTCCTGCTGAAACAACACAAAAGACCGCACGTAATGCAACTTCAGTCTTGCCAAATCCAACATCTCCACATATCAGTCTATCCATTGGAGTTTCTCTGTCTGTCAAATCCTTCTCTACATCAATAAAAGCCTGCAGAAAATGTCAACTACTCTAACAAGAAGTATCAACCATGAAGCAGGAAATGACATTTGTGTTTTGATATGGTTATAGTTCAATAGAGGTTTACATCAAAACATAGCATAAATATGCAGCATCTAGGTTAATGAGGCTAAGGATATAAATCTTTAAGGCCTTGCATAATCTAATTTAGTACCCCCCTCATCTCCAAAAAAAGAATTATTCCAACTCACACCAGAAGGAAAGAAAAAAGTAGTAGAAGCTCATAAAGTCATAAATGGTCAAACTTAACTGATAGTTCCAGAATATTTATTGAAGCATTAATTTGACTTTTTAACTCTCAAGCACTTGGGGTATCAACTGCTCAAATTGTGTTAAGTTTTGAGGCAATGTTCACAATAGCAAGACAAACCTTGGTTATAAAGAGCAACTTTGGGTAGTTTGACAGATACAAGTATATGATATGTCCAAGATAAAATAATACAAGATGTTTGTTGTCCTTCTGTCTAAAAGGGGTGATGTGGCATGCAGAGTAGTTGGCGTGCCTCAAAGATCCACTATAAATGATGGAATTTTCTTCAAGGGGCCATTAGGCTCCATTGCTCCAAAAGGGAAATCTTGAACACGTTCAAATGAAATTTCAGCATACGATACAACCTCTTGTATAACTAAAACTAAGAAAAATATCTATAGTTTGATATTAGTAACTTATTGCCACAAAAACCAAAGGAACAAGAAACTTAAACGCTAAGATGCAACTCCAAAAGAAAAGGAAAAAATAAAAAAATAAAAACCCGTGAAAGATTTTTATTCCCCAAAAGATTAAGAGGTATATTTGACTTAGCTTCTTCATTCCTATTTTAACTAGTTATAATTTTTGTAATAATATCATCGGCAGTACTTCATAATTATATGGCCACGAGCCCCTTTCCTCCATAATTGATTACAAAAAGGGGGGGGGGGGGGGTTATGAAACCTAGGTTGGATATTAAATAGGAAATTTCAGTGAAAGTGCCTCAAGGATTAGCAATAGCCTTTGTTCCCCTTGCCTTAATTAACTTATATTAGAAAATAAGTTCAATTAAGAAAAAGAAACTCTTATCATTTGAGTTATGAAAATTAAGCTCGCTAAGTTTAAAACTATAGATCAAAGCCAATAAGGGCTACCGCCTATGGGAGTTGCATTCATAACTACAATAAGTTCAATTCAAGCAAATAAGTTCTCATAAGTTCAGATTAGTGACATTCAGGTGAATAGAGCACACCTTAGGACTTGTTTGGTTGACATTAATGGACATGGTCAAAGTTTCCAGTTAGTGCTTATGTGGAGCGTTATTTGGTTTACATGAAAAAGGTTTGTGGTAAGTTGATAAATACATGGATATTTAGACTTCCCATACACCGTGGGAAGTGGCTAGCCCACTTCCCCCTTCATAAGCCACAATTCCCTCACGTGTTTTGGTTTATTTACATATCTACTCTCCAACTTCCTAAGAAGTGCAAATTCCAAAGTGTTAATCAAACATATAAACCATTCCACTTTGTAGATTAACAAGGGAACTAACTTTCATGAAATGAAAAGTCACGGATATTTAGTTCCAACATAAACCAAACAGCCACTTAGATAGTTGTATTGAATTTAACTGCCAATGAGAAGTAGTGATGCTTCAAAAAGAATGGCTTTCCAGTAATAGAAAGTGTTTTACCTGTTTTTGATCTGGTGTGGGCTCATAAAGAAACTGAGAAGTAAACTCAGCCATTGCTAGACATTTTGGATACGGAGGTCTTTTCTGTTTAAGCCTATGTAAATACAATTCCATCAAGTCAACTACCATTTTCTGGACTGCAACCTTTCCTTTGGTCCTCCTCTTTTCCCATGCACTTGTGTCATTTAGTTTACTGAGTGTTCGTGGCTTTTTTGGTTCATTTGGACTGAAATGAGAAATACATAACACTCAATAACTGAAAGTTGGAGCCTGGAAGACTGAATATACAAGAAACATCATGAAAAAGACATCTAAATTTTCTGAGTAAATTCTTGATTCACTTATGCCAGCAGTTGTAAGGAATACATCGGTAGCATGCAAATGTCAAAAAAAATCAAAATGCACAACAATTCCTGCGAAATTTTCACGAATGTTAAACATAACAAAGTCTTAACAAGATATTACTTCGTATCTCGTAACCCTCACAAAATTGCTTATTACACTGGCAAACTACCTTATGTCATGAACCTCACAAAGTTGTTCATTACACTTGCAAAAACATTCAGATACTGCGATTAATAAGGTCTACAACTCTTATGCCATTCAACCCTTAATAATGTTTCACATTCAACCTTATCACAAAAGGTGAATACCAATGTCAAAATACTAACATCAGCAGCAAAAGACATTATATATCCAGGCAAAACCCAGCTGAAGAAAGCTCAAAAATGTACTGTCCTATACTCTTCCCTATTCGAGTATTCGTCTAACAAGTCCTCACTTGTATTCTGAATTTCTAACACTCCAATTTCACTAACAAAAGAAAAGAGTAAATCTAGGAATTAAGATTAAATTTCAATAAGAAAGGATCATAAGAAACCATACAGATTATATCGGTAGAGCATACGCGACGCCTGCTTAACAGGAAGCTTAGCCATACCATCTCCATACTCAATAAACACATATTCAATAGGTTCAGAACCATCTTTTGGCATATCATATTTAATCCCAACAAATCTTCCAATACCAACTTTCTTATGAACTACATAATCCCCAGATTTTAGAGTATAAGGATCAACTTTATAACTAATTCCACCACTTTCTTTTCCTCCTCCTTTCTCTTCCTTATTTTTCCCTTTCAATTTCTCCAACCCTCTTTGCTGCTGCTGCTTCACAAGCTGAATATACTTCTCAGCCTCCTTAGAATCCAAGGCCGGTTTCGTAGTGTCTCGGGTTCCATGATCCCTCCTTATTCTCTCATTCAAGGCCGTAATCGGGTCGAATTCTGAGTCAGAAACCTTCTCCTTTCTAAAGGATGATTTGGTCCGGGAACCCCCTTCAGTGTAAACAGCATTGCAGATTAATAATTGGGGTTTACGACAATGGCGGCGACACGGGCATTTGAAGTTGATAGAGATGGTGGATAATTGAGGGTGTGAGCTCAATTTGAAGCAGAAATCTGAAATTGGGAGGAAGAAGAGTTTTGTGGCAGCCATTAATTCTAGAAAATTGAAGGTTTTGGGTGAAAAAAGTGAGGAATTTTAGCAAAGACAGGTGAAATTGAAGATGGGTTTTGGCATTTTTAAAGGAGAAAGAGAATGGTGATTGAAAATGGGGGGTTTTGAGAGGGTTTAAGCAGAAGGACGGGAGATACAGGTAAACTGATAATGTGAGAATTTGTGTAGTAGAAACATAAAGCTGCTCAAAATATCTAATCAGTAATCACCAATTTTAGAAATCTGATGACCGTTAATGACAGTTAAGGTTATTTTACCACAACAGAATTGTTAAGTAGTATAAATGGTAATTTTGTGAGAGTTGGGGATAGTTCAAGTGGTTAGTGTTTTCCTCCCGATTTCAAGAGATTTGGAATCGATTCTCACCCCAGTCCTTGTGGCTCTCTAAACACCAAAAAAAAAAAAAAAAAAAATGGTGACTTACTCCAAGTTATGAATCCTTCTACGTTCTTTTAGGGGCCAAAATTATTTAAGCTTATGATATTAATTCCTAATCTACAGCTTAACGTGGAGTACGAATCAAATAAAAGGTTCTTGTATTCTATCAAATTTGTTTTTATAATGTAGTACTTGTATCTTTTATCATTGTTATATATAGAAAAAGTGTTATTTTCCAGTTTTCTAAAAAAATTGTGATTAAAAAAATATATACTACCTCCGTTACACATTATTTGCAACGATTTGACATAAAGTAAAGAGAAAAAATGTCTAATCGTTGTAAATAATATATAACGGAGGTAGTATATTTATTGCACCAATATAACATTCAAAGTTAACATATAACGAGTAACCATTAAAGATAGGATTTTTTACGAAAGTAAGCCTTATTAGTAAACTATTTACCAATCTAGACGCGTGACCAAACTATTTACGAAACTGAGCTTCTGACATAAAACGTTGCCTCGGTCAGCGTTTTACCTTTGGTTATTATTTTTTTTTATAAAATTTCGTATTATGTGAAATACAAATTTAAAAAAAAAATTGGAAATACAGTAAAACGCTGACTCAGTCAGCGTTTTACTTGTATACATAACAGAGAAAAACGCTGACTGAGTCAGCGTTTTACACCTAAGCATAAAACGCTGCCTCAGTCAGCGTTTTATCTGCTGGCTGAAGGCAGCAACAGCAGGCCCCCAACAACAGCCAGTGCAGCCCCCTTCCACATCCACCAACACCACCACCCTCCTCCTCCACATCCTCCACCACCCTCCTCCTCCACATCCACCACCACCACGACCCTCCTCCTCCACATCCACCACCACCATCACCCTCCTCCTCCACATCCACCACCACCACCCTCCTCCTCCACATCCACCACCACCATCACCCTCCTCCACATCCACCACCCTCCTCCTCCAAATCCACCACATCCACCACCCTCCTCCTCCACATCCACCACCACCACCACCCTCCTCCTCCACATCCACCACCACCATCACCCTCCTCCTCCACATCCTCCAACACCTCCACCACCCTCCTCCTCCACATCCACCACCTCCACCACCCATCCTCCTCCACATCCACCACCTCCACATCCACAATTTATTTTGAACGAAATGAGTCAAACGTGGACAGTCTGTCGTAGTCCAAACTGTCGCACTGCTGGGGGACAGTTTGTCGTAGTCCAAACTGTCGCATGACTCGATCTGGTAGGTGACCCTCGACGACCTCAAAACAGATCAGGGGGACCCTAGAACGCCACTACGCCTGATGATCTAGCAGATGTGGAGGCATGGCAGCAACTAAATCAGCTTCATACGGGTCCCATGTCATCTGCGATAACACATAAAAAGTAACATAATAAACAGGTTAGTGCATATTAAATATGTTAAGAGTATACATAATAAATAACAATTTCATAAACAAATTAAAGATTTCACCTGATCCTCGGTCAGTCGTCAAGGGCGTCTCGGTAGTACGGCAGACCCCTCGCTGCATGCGCATATGTCAGCTTGGGGACCGCCCATCTGCAAGCGTACGCCTCGTCAGCGGAAGGCCGTGGTGGAGGAATGTACCGCTCATACTGCTGGTCCTGATCCTGCTGCCCCTGACGATGTATAGCAGGCCTACCTGGCCTGCCTACATGGATGTGCTCCCAAGACCAATACTGGACATCAAACACACAAAACTAGGTTAATTGTAAACTAAGTAAGAACTTTCCGAATTAAATTGTTAACAGATAGGTAGGTTACCTGAAGCAAAAATAACGGTCCGCTGATCTCACGAGAACCCCGGCGGGATGCTCTACACAGATGGCGATACAACATCGCCAGATAAGCACTGCCCCAGGTGTAGCCACGAATATGCTCCCAGTCGTGGTCTACCAGCTGCAGGTAAATGATCTGTAAATGGCTGCCACTCTTGCCACCGAACAAGGTACGCTCGAGCATGTCTCGCAATAGTGGCCTCATCAGCACCATCAGGCAACACACGAAAAGTGTCGCGTATCCAGCCGGTCCTCAATCCGCCGCCCCTGATATCGTCCGGTCCTGGCTGAACCCCGAGAACCTGAGCTACATAACCGGGGGGATCGGCCAACGCAGATCCAGACACCGGACTCCCATGAATGGGAAGCCGTGTGAGTATCGCCACGTCTCGCAACGTCACGGTCGCCTCCCCAACAGGTAGATGGAAGGAGTGCGTCTCCTGCCTCCATCTCTCCACAAGCGCAGTAACAAGCGTTGGGTCGACCTCTCTGAACGCCATCCGATGTATACCCATGAAGCCAGCGTACTCCACGAAAGGCAGAATGCGGGGATCGATAACCCAATCGCCAAGGAACGCAACAGTGTAGTGCCTGCATGTCAGTATGCTCGCCGGATCAACCGACTGACTCCAAATGTCAACGCTACGATGTGTGTCATGCAATGTAAGGACAGAAGGGTCGGTGGGTCCGGGTGTCCTATCTTGGGTGTCCATGGTATCTGTTCATAAACAGTTATAATCCAACAATTATAAAGTAAAAATTACATATAAGCGATAACAAAATACATAATTTCAAATCTCATACTTCAATCTAAAAATCCAACTGTTACAATCATTTGAAATGTAGAAATACAATCACCGTACTATTCTACTACATCACTCTAGATAACAGAAAAAATAAAAAATTAGTGCCCGGTCGATCTAGAGGGACACGATCTCTTGTTGTGACCCTGCTGGTGACAGAGGCCGCATTTTCTCGCGGGACGGTTGGTCTCATCCATTTCATTGCGTATGCGTCTTGACTTAGGGCGACCTTGTCCTCGTACCATGCTGTTGTCGGGAATGAGTTTAGGCCCTCCATTCTCTCTCCATGTCGTCTCACAAGGGATAGGCCAGAATTGGGGAGCGTATGTGTTTGCGTAGGCCTCTGATTGCAGTACCCGGTCCACCCATGGCCGCTCTGATATCGAATACTTCACACAAACTGCTAGAACATGAGAACATGGGAGGTGGAAGATCCGTAGTTTATTGCATATGCACGTTCTTAACCAAAAGTTAACAGTATGTCTATGGCCTCCTTTTCTACCAATTCTATCTCCCCTCTTTGTTTCAACTTGATATATATGCAGTCGACGGTTATACGCTTCCACTTTGTGATATCTAGCCTTTGCAATGTTTTTCTCCATAATGGATGTGACTTTGGGGGAGTATGCAAGTCCCTGTTCAGATCTAGTCTGAGATAATTCCCTTCTATCAGTGAAATACTTATTGACTCTGTGGAATGTTAATTCCACAAGGGACATGGCAGGTAGAAATCGAGCACCCTTCAACACATTGTTAAATGTTTCTGAGAAGTTCGTAGTACATATCCCATATCTGCGACCAGCATCGTGAAACAAAGACCACATAGGCAAGGGCACTTGGACAATATACTGTATGGCCTTGGTACACGCCTGACCGATCAAACTCATATCAGCTACCAGTTTTCTTTCCTGCCTTTGGTACGCAGCAGCCTTGAACATATCTCTCATGTCGTTTCTTCGCACGTGAGTCTTCAAGTTAGAAGCCAAGTGCCGAACACAAAACCTGTGATAGGCTCGCGGCTCGGTGAATCCAACGTTAGGGTCATTCATTGCTGCAATGATCCCAGCATGTCGATCAGATATAACACAGAGGCCATCCCGTTGAGTGACATGAACCCGAATGCAGCCCAGAAACCAAGACCAGCTGGAAATGTTTTCCCCTTCGACTAACGCAAATGCAAGCGGAAATACTTGGAAGTTTGCATCCACACCTGTAGCAACCAACAATGTTCCTTTAAATTTCCCGCACAAATGTGTCCCATCGATACAGATGACAGACATACAATGTTTAAAACCTTCAACACAAGGGCCGAAGGCCCAAAATACTTGTTCAAACACTTCCATGTTTTTGTAATAAACATCGTCTACCAGAGCTTTGTGTTTCCATACAACAACGGTTCCCGGGTTTGACTGTTTGAGTACTTCCATGAAGTGCGGAAGTCGGACATAAGAACTCTCCCAATCTCCAAATACTTCAGCTATGGCTTTCTCCCTAGCATACCATGCTCTTCGATAAGTAACGTCGAACTGAAAATGCTTGGATATGAGTTTCTGTATAAATTCAACTTTCAAGCATGGATCTTTCTGCACAAAAGACTTCACAAAATCGGAAATTAAGGATGAATCCAAGTGTGCATGATCTGTAGATAACACTTCAGTGACACAGGTGTCCCGGTGCGGGCCTTTGTATGTGACTATGGTAAAGGTATCTGAGTGCTCACTTTTTTTGGTGCCTCGTAGCGACCAACCACAATTCTTCTTGCACCGCAGATGAAGGACCTTCTCATTCGAGGTCACTGTGGTGTAGAATTGGTTCCTTTGTATAGAATACTTCTTCACCATTTCCTGAAGCAGTTTCTTAGATTCAAAGAACATACCCTTCTCAAACTCCCCCCCCCCCGATCACAAATGTTGTATGACTACCTGATTTGGCCCAATATTGATCAACCTCATAATTCTCATTTACTTGACTTAACCAAGGAATAGGAGTTCTAACCATGGCCTCCCCACCTTCCATGTCTGTAGAATCAACATCCATGTTATCCATAATTGGTTCCTCTTCTTCGCTCTCAGCCTCATCATTTGTTTCCCGGAGCGCAACATACAGAGACAACTCGTTGTTCACCATATGTTGTAGATTTTCAAGATGATTCACCAATGGTTGAGACGGTGATGTATGATCATCATGCTGCGTAGGTGAATAACTTTGGAGTTGCATGGGAGAAGATATAACTGTGTTCGATGTCGAAGGCCCAGATTGGCCAAACATTGTCGTAGATGTTCCACCATATACAGGTGAAGCTATATGTGAACTCAACGGCATCTGGAACCGATCGTCATGAAGCAGTCTGCTGAAGGACCCCATCCCATATTCAGTTGATGGAATGTCTTGTGAGGGC